GAGTGTTAAGTGTAAAATTAATATATAACTTTGGGTTGTATTGAGTTACAATGTTAAAATTTGCCCTTTGAGGGGTTCCGTGGTTTAGTGGGTAACACCACTTGTGGTTTAGTGGGTAACACCACTTGCTCACAAACATGAGGATCTGAGTTTTGCTTATAGGCTCCTATGTAAAAAGCTGGGCATGACCACATATCTGTAACATCATCACTGTGTGGACAGAGACAGGAGGATCCCTGGGCCTTGCTGGGTATACCAGGCTCAGTCCATGTTCAGTGAGAGACTCTATCTCCAAAGAATAGGATAGAGTATTAGATGCCTAAATTTTTGTTGTTGTTGTTTGTTTGCTTTTTTTTTTTTTTTTAAATTCCTTTACTCTTTTGGCCTGCCTACCTGCTACCAAATAAATACACAGAAACTTATTCTTACTTTTGAATGCCTGGCCTTAAGTTGGCTTGTTTCTAGCCAGCTTTTCTTAAATTATCCCGTGTACCTTTTGTCTCTGAGCTTTTATCTTTCTTTATTCTGTCTTTGATTCTTCACAGCTGGCTGTGTCACTGAGCGGCTGGCCCCTGGCACTCTCCTCTCCTCCTTCTCCATGCTCCCTTTTCTCCCTTTTCTCCTATTTATTCCCTTCTCCTGGCAGCCCCACCTATTTCTGTCTCCTGCCAAACTATTGGCCGTTCAGCTCTCTATTAGACCAATCAATTGTTTTAGACTGGCAAGGAAAGTAACACAGCTTTACAGAGTTAAACAAATGCAACATAAAAGAATGCAACAGATCTTTGTACCATTAAACAGATACCCCAGAGCATAATGAATGTAATACATCTTCAACTACTATTCCACACACCCAAAGTCTTCCTCTGGTTTCCACTTGCTTATACATAGGTATGAGTAGCCACATACACCACACATACACCCATCACCCATCACCCTCCCCAAACATACAGAGTTTTGTTTTGGAGACCAGGCTGGCCTCGAACTCACAGAGATCTGCCTGCCTCTGTCTTCCGCGTGCTGGGATTAAAGGCGTGAGCCACCAACGCCGGGCTTGTTTTGCTTTTTTATATCTGTTTGAGTTGGTGAGTTGAGTTTTACAAAGAAGCCATTTTAATGAATTTTGACTGGGGATTAGGAGAGGTTTTCTGATGTTTCTGAAATGACCCTAAACATGCTCATCTCATTCTATACTACATACTTATGTGAAGCAGTGTTCTCAGTATTGATAATTAGAAAATCAAAGTATCAGTCAACCCAGAAAGATGATAAAGATGTTCTGTGTCTTGCAATTTCAAACATTGACTCAGCAATTGTTTTTTATGTTAAGAATTACTGGGATTGATATGTAAAATTAGATTGTTTCTAATGTAAATAAAATTAAAAAATAAAAAGAAAATACAGAAAATTTTTAAAAAAGAATAAGTACATCTATCTCATTTGTATGAAGGTTTGCTTTTTATATTAAATGGTAAATTATATGTACATCAAAGAACTGCTTCAAGATAAATTTATTTTCAGATGTTTTATTAGCATATATAATTACATTTAGTGAAGGCTTTTATCATGACATCTCCATACAGTTGCATAGTGGAGCTCACCCATATTCACACCCACGTCCTGTCCCCTCTCACTGATCACTGCTCCTCTGTCCCCTTTCGGCTATCTTGTTTTTAATGGCCTGTTGAGTGGATTACCCCTGCTTATAAGAACATAGTGAGGGTTTTATGGCGCTTTACTAGTTGCTGTTCTACTGAAGAAAACGGCTCTCTTTTGCCAATCAGCTGTTAACTCTGTACAAACACCCAGAGCCCCTCTCTCCTCCATGACAGGATGCTGGGGCCCCGACTTGTGCAGATCTTGGGTAGTTAGCTAATGCTCGAAGCTCTTGTGAGTTCAGGAGTGCAACAGACCTGGGCTACCTGGGAGTCAGCCTTCCACACCCTTCCACGCTCCTCCCACAGCTTTTAATTCCTGTCTCTCTCCTGGGATTTTCCCGAGGCTTGCAAGGGGTGATGTGAATGTTCCCTTTGTGGCCGAGTGCTCAGCACTCATGTCTCAAGGAACTCTCTGCAGTTCCTTGACCACTGGGATCACAGTTGATAACAGCTCTAATCTGTGGGCGGGAGCATTGTTATTTAGGAGGCAATTTGATGGCTACATCAGTCCTTACATTTCCTTTTGATTTCTAGTCACAGAGTGTTTACAGCCTTATGTATCCACGGTTACCTAAGAAGTTCGCCAGTGACAATGAGCTGTGAGCACATTGGAAATTATTCATTCCATAAGTCAAATACTCTAAGCCCTTTGAAGGCCACTCATGGTTAGGACTGTTACAGTCTATCCCTGCAAGAAGAGCACAGGTCTTCTAGTGAGATAGGTACATCAGGAGGGCTGGGACAGTCTCAAAGTCAGAAAAGACAATATAGAGGCCAGCTGGATACTGGGAGAGAAGAGAAGATGAATTGAACAGAAATCAAGAGCTCTGGCTGGGCATTGGTGGCGCACGCCTTTAATCCCAGCACTCGGGAGGCAGAGGCAGGTGGATCTCTGTGAGTTTGAGGCCAGCCTGGTCTCCAGAATGAGTGCCAGGATAGGCTCCAAAGCTACACAGAGAAACCCTGTCTCGAAAAACCAAAAGAGAGAAAAAAAAAAAAAAAGAAAGAAAGAAAAAAGAGAAAAAAAAAAAGAAATCAAGAGCTCTGGTTTTGGTCACTGTTTGGTGTCATTTTTTTTTTTTTTAAAGGATTAGTAAGAGGGTACACAGCTCTGGAGCTCAGAAGAGTCTAGTCTGATGATTACAAATTTGATGGTCACCTGGCAGTGGTGATGTATGCCTTTAATCCCAGCTGTTACGATAAATCTTTCTGCCAAAGCCACCTGAATTCTACCGCCACGTGGGTGGTCTCCGCCAGCTGTGTGGATGGACAAAATAATACAGAGACATATTAGGCACAAAGCTGCTTGGCCAATGACTAGGATTCTCATCTGTTAGCTCAGTCTTAATTATCATAAACCTATATATTTTATAAGACTTATCTTATAGAGGATGCCTTTCCCTGGCACCCTCTCTTGCCAGTGGCTCACATCCCGCTGCTGGAGGAGGAAGGGGAAAAAGGGACACTTCCTGTTTCTCCTTTCTTAAATATGAGTCTCCTTGCTATGTCACTTCCTGCCTGGAATACCACTTCTCTACTACATTTTCCAGAATCCTCTTTGACTCCTAATCCTGCCAAACTTGCTGTCTCATTGGCCAAACAGTATTTTATTCAATAATCAATAAGATGAACATACACAGTACATTCCCTATCACCCAACACTCAGGAGGCAGACATGGGTGGATCTCTGAGATGGAGGCCATCCTCATCTACAGAGTGAGTTCCAGGATATCCAAGGACAGCCAAGGTTACCCAGAAAAACCCTGACTCAAAAAAGAAAGCAAGAAAAGAAATAGGGGGAAAAACACCATAGTCTATTCTATAATTATCTCACAGGCTTACTAATATCCTTCTCTCTCATTTTCTGGAAAAGGTAGGTACCTTTTCGGATTTGCATTATTTAGGCACATTTTTGACTGGTTACAGTTCTGTGTTGTACCATTTTCAACAAAAAATAATGGAGCTGCTGTAATTATCTCTGCTACATTGTATGTTGGAGAAAACTGCGTCAGAATAGTATATATCTTAACATTTCTGCTCATGAGACATGCAATACTAGCAGTTCTAGGTTCCATTTTACTGCATTTTATTTTACTTACTAAAAATGTTAGTGTTCAGGTGTGGTGGTGCATGCCTTTAATCCCAGCACAGTGAGACCCTGTCTCAAACAACAAAAAATGTTAAAGTTTACATTAATTTAAATATGGGGTAAAAATTTCAAAAAAGAAGAATGCAATTTCTTCTCCCAATTTAAAACTGTTCTTGTGTACCCTTCTAGAAATTTGAGTTGTTCTTACGTGTTACTAAATGGTATTATGTTCTCGTCTTAAAATCCAGTTATACCCTATACTCTTGTACAGCTTTTTTCATTCATAAGAGAAGGCATCAGCAATGTGCCGGTTAGTCGGTTTGTGGGTGTGTGAGTGCACATCTGTGTTTGTGTGTGTTTGTGTTTTCTCCAACTTGACATAAGCAAGGGCCATTTGAGAAGAGGGCACTTGGGTAGAGATTGGCCTGTGAGCAAGTCTATGAGGCATTTTACTGACAGTGATGTGTCAGAGCCCCGCCCACTGTGGGTGGTGCCACCCTGGGAAAGTAGTCCTGGATACTATAAGAAAGTAGGCTGAGCAAGCCATGGAGAATGCACCAGTACAGCGTCATCATCATCCCAGGGCGGGGTTGGGGGGTTGGGGGGTTGGGGAGTTGGGGGTTGGGGGATGGGGTGTCACCTCTGCTTCACTTCCGGCCTCTGGGTTCCTGCTGGAGTTCCTGCACTGACTTCCCTTGATGATGGGGGGAGTATTTCACACAGTTGGTGTGGTTGTGGTGTTTATTTCAGTACCAAAATGCAAACCAAGACAAGCAATTTTAAGATGAAAACAAAGTATCTGCTTTGGTTAGCAGGCTGCTCAGTCCTTTGATAAAAGCCCTGCTGAGCCTTGATTTTAAGTAGGTGTGCAAGCTTGCTAGGTGATGCGACACTTAGGACTCCATGTCTGTAGAATACAGTTGTGTTCTCTTTACCAACAAGACATACTTTTACTCACAGAAAATATTTTTTGCATTGGAAATGTGAAACCAAATTTCAGTGCACATTTAAAGCAAGGTGCTGAGAGCTAGGTACGTTTGTTTGCTTGCAGGGTGATGCTTATGGACTTAGTTCCTGCTTGGAGGAGTTGTTTTGCCCTATGCTGTTTAAATCATTAAGTTTTTTTGGTTCATCTTTTAAAATGTTTTTTCTTCCTTTTCCTGGTCATCTTTAAATTTTAAGGAATCTTTAAAACTTAGTTGAGGTGAAGAGAATACTAAGTTATTACATTAACTTTCTCCTTCATCCTTTAGCTTCACAATGAAGAAGACCATTCAGAATCATCTGCTGTCGAGCAGCCATCAACTTCTAACTCAACAGCACACGCTGTGGGAGCTGCTCCTTCAGCACCAGCCCTGGAAACCGACTCTGCGCCTCCACCCTATAGTAGCATTACTGTTGAAGTACCTACAACTTCAGGTGGGATGACTGCTTGCTTTGCTTTGCTTTATAACCCAGGCTTGTCTGGAGCTTACTATGTAGCCCAGGCTGGCCTAGAACTCATAAACTTTCTGCTTCAGCCTCCCAATTGATGCATGCTTGGTACAAGCATATGTCAGTCATTGCACCTAGCTTGTTAAATGAACTTTGAAAGACATACACTCACATATCTAATCACACTTGTATATACAGACGCATATGTATACATACATATATGTGTATGTGTATATATACATACATACATACATATGTTTATGCTTTTATATTCTTAAGGTTGTAATGGACAGCTAATGACGATGAGTAAGCATGTGATGGGTATGTGTGAGCAGACACAAACAGTGTGCGTAGTGTTATGCACACATATGGTAAGAATGCTTGCACGCAAGTCAGAGATTCCTGCTTGCTGCTGTTTGTTCTCTGTGTCAGGTCATCCCACTCAATGTGTTTTTTCTCAGCAGTGTTCAATTGATCATATAATAATTTGCATACTTCCATGGTTTATATACTCTCATTTATATAATTGTACGATTCTGTTTACTACTATAATCTTTCTGAGCAGTGTAGTAATTTCTAAGTGTCTATAAGTTCTCTATTTGCCATGCCAGTAAAAGGCTCTAGTTGCCCAGAAACACTGTAAAGCAGTGGCTCTCAACTTGTGGCCTCTGACCGCCTTGTGGGGTGGACTGGTCCTTTCACAGGGGTCTCCTCAGACCATTGGAAAACACAGATATTTACATCTGATTCAGAACGATAGCAAACTTACAGTTATGAATTGGCAACATAAATAATTTTTTGATTTTCAAAAGTTGATCCATCTTTAATTTTTGGAACAAACCATTATGCCGTGGCTTCATTTCTTGATTGAGATATGTGAACCCTTTAGTAGAGCTCGTACAGCTCAATGGGCCCTAGCACTTCATACCATTCAACAACATGAAACAACCCAAGAAGCTTCTGGTCTCTGTGATCTGTGGTGGATAATGTGGCATGTAATTTTTAAAGATCAGGCAAATTTTAACTGTAAAACCAGCGGAATGTGGTAGTTGTGTGTTCCCTTATTTTTACACTAATCTGTAGAGATGAGTCTTTGCTTTTTTTACAACTCTGACTGACAGGATGCTCAGGACTTTAATTAACCACGAAAATTGAGTACTTCTAGATTTTGAGTCTCTTTAGTGAAAAATTAGTATAATATTTTCTTTGTGTTATGTTATGTGTTAAATATGATCTTCTTAGTTTTCTGTGGTATTGTATTCTCCATTAGTTCACTTTATGACTTTTTTTTCTAGATCTGAGTAACAATATGTGACATTTGTATATTTCTTGCTCTTGGATGTATACACATTGCTCTTGGATGCTACTTCCCTCTGTAATATCAGGCATGCCTTAGTCAGTGACTTGATTAAGGTGACAGTCCTTGGAGACTGGAAGACAGAGCTTGCAGACTTTAATCTTGTGTACAAAGTAGAGATTAAATGGTGACAGTAGATGGTGGAGCTCCCCGTGTGTCAGCTTCTGTTAATGACTTGACTCTTTTCCATGTTGAATATTAAAGATTTTCAAGATTTTACATGCTGTTTTATAGAAGAGTGCATCTCCATGGATGATGTGTGCTATTTAAAAGTTTTTTGTTTTGCTTTGTTTTTTCTGAGACAGGGTTTCTTTGTGACTTTGGAGACTGTCCTGGACTAGCTCTTGTAGACCAGGCTGGTCTCGAACTCACAGAGATCCGCCTGCCTCTGCCTCCTGAGGGCTGGGGTTAAAGGCGTGTGCCTCCAACGCCCGGCTGATGTGTGCTGTTTAAATTCATAATTTCAATGTTATTTTCTTAGATTAATAATATTGTTTTCATTTATATTTTGCCTCTCAATTGTACTGTTACTACTTTTTCTGTCAGTAGATTAGAAATAACCTAACTTGAGATTCTTAGCCTATATTGATAACTTATTTTTTTCTTAAAGCCTCTATAGCTGAAAATATAATATTAAAATAAAAACTTTTCATATTGGAGATGCAAGAAGTTCTGTTAAAGAGAAAGCTATGAGCTGGTGTAGAAAATATCAAAATATTATAGTTAGAAGAAATTCTGTGTTCCTCAGGTTTAACATGGCTTTTGGAATCTACATTTTCCACAGTCATAAATGTTTTAAGTTCATGCTGAACTTCGCTTATACTAATTATATTGGAAATATATTCTGTAGTTTTATTTTTCTAAATGAGAAGTCTATATTTACTATTTTACTATAAATTTTAGAGACCATTTCTCAAAAATGCTTTGAAAGTCAAACAGAAATTGTTAGTAAAAATGCACCCCCTCTGGGGAGTGGATGGGATGGGATTGGGTAGGGAGCACGGGAGGATGGGAGGGAGGGGGAGGGGACTGGGATTGATATGTGAAATACGATTGTTTCTAAATTTAAAAAAAAATGTAGAGAACTGTGTGTCTATTGGGAAAACTGAAGTAAAGGGGGGGATGAGAAACAATAAAGGTTCATTGGTCTTTAAGTGAAGAGAATCTGGAGTTTTCTTAAGAGATCAGGGGAGCTGCTAAAATTCGTGTAGAAGAACTAACTACCCAGAGCAGACGACGCTGGGCTGTGACTTGTGTGACTGGGACTCACAAGTCACTTCCTTTCCCTGGATCTCAGGGGCGCTAACATTAGTGCATGGGGAAGACAGACAGCATGGCCAACACCACAAGGATGCTGTGGTTACCAGGGTTTAAAGGCTTTTTCTTGGATTGGTGTGGCTGTGCAATGGGGGGGGGGGGTGAGTAAGTGAGTGATCGTGTTCCTGCAGACTGGTGAGAACACAGAAGATGTTAGAGACTGAGATTCTTACCCCCTGCTCCCAAATTCCTTTCCAATTCTCATTTTGGGTCAGTGAGACGCCTCAATAGATAAGGTCATTCTTTGATGACCTGACTTTCATTCCAAGAATCCATACAGCTGGAGGAGAGAATGTACTTGCACATACAAAATAAATGTATGTTCAAAACTCTCAACTTTGAACCCTCTTTGAGTTGGAACTATCCTTTAGATGTTATTTATCATCCCACCCCTTTATAGTAAATATGGGACAAATCAAAGATTATAAAAGTTTAACCATATTTTGTGTTAGATAGCTTACAGTACAGACCTACAACAGCAATAGTAATCTTTAGTGTCTCTTGTAAGTTTTTAAGGTATGATCATGGCTGTGAAATCGTATTAAGTTTTAATGATTATCCTTTAAAAATCTTTGTTTTACTTCTCAGATGCTGAAGTTTACAGTGAGTTTTACCCCGTGCCACCTCCATACAGTGTCGCTACCTCTCTTCCTACATACGATGAAGCTGAAAAGGCTAAAGCTGCCGCCATGGCAGCCGCAGCAGCAGAAACACCTCAAAGAGTAAACAACATTTCACAGTATTTTTGTGACTGTCTGTGCATTTAATGTGAAAGTCGTTCTCTGTGTGTAGGAGTGTGTGTAGTCTCCCTGTTACTGTCTGTGCGTGTCAGTGTTGGTCATGTTACAGTCTGCAGATGAATCCACCTTCTCTGTCCTTGACTTCCTGAGTCTCTGTTGATCTTGTCTGTATCCGTCTCTGAGTATGGCACCCAGAACTTACTTTTTCAGTATACTTGTCACTCCCAGTTTTTGATGTCAGGCAGAGCAGACGCTATTTTCCATCAGAGTCAGCGCACTCTGATCAGCGTCACTCTCCCAGTGCTTTTCTTTCCTCTGGACCTCTCTCCACTGATCTCTTTATGGCCCATGCACCTTTTTCTCTTGATACAGTTCACATTTCATTTTCTTGTTGTCAAAGCGATGTTGTCTTATTTTCTATTCATGTTTGCTTTCCCCTTTCCCTTATTCCACCCCCAGTGTGCCCTTTGCTCCTCCTTCCCTTTCACATCTGCATTTATGCCTTTTAATGATTGCCTAAATAACTTGGTATGTCTCTATTGTCGCATCCCACCTGTCTGCCATGTGGGCTCTAGAAGAGCATAAAGGCTGTTCATGTGAACTGGTGGGTTTCAAGGCTAAGGAAGCAAAATCCCGTGTAGTAATACTTCTTAGCTCTTAAGTCTTATCACTTAAATCAGTGATAACAGACTTTGCAAGTAATTTCAGAGTTTAGTCCTTTCCATGTATTATTTTCTAAGCAAAAGGTATACCATACAAACAATATTTTATGTTGTATATTTTAGATTGTTAGAATAATAAAAATACCAAGATATTAAAAGCCTTTTTAAATTTACTTAAAAACTTTAATGCTGAGATTCTTTAGTTTCATAGGGTATATGTCCTATAATTTATCAGCCTACCAAGAACTGACTTGAATTTTCACCCAGCTTGTTTGTCAGTCTGTCAGTTTCCTGTAGTTTGGAAAGAAGGCAGGAAACCACTGAGGTCTGAAGGAGAGGCTTAATTATCCAGAGCAGTAGCCGTTGCTCTGCTGTGGGTCAAACCCCAGTTTCTCCCAGGGCAACAGTGGAGATTAGATGGTAATCCCACGTGCCACATGCCAACCCGGAGGGTTATGTTACTAGCGAGCCCAAGCCTTCCACCTGCCCTGCATATTGTGGTTGGGGTGCCCTTTCTTTGTCCCCCCTTTAGACAGGCTCTTAATAATAAATCCAAAACTTTATCTGTTTAGCCAGGTTGGCTGGTCCCTGAGATTTAGGAACCTCCTTGTCTCTGTGTCACCAGCACTGGGGCTGTAGGCACATGGTGCAATGGCATGCTTTTTACATGGGTTGAGGGTTCCAGCTCAGGCCTTTGTGCTTGTACTTACTGAGCCATGTCCCCAGCCCTCAAGTTACCTTTCTTGTGTTTGCCTTTAAAGATATCCTTCTCAACAGCACCTATGATAATTATCTGTATGACCACTTGAGAACGTTAGGTGTTACTCTTAAATTGAAGGTAATAAAATTGTAGTTATTTTAGTGAAATGCTTTGGTTTGTATTTTACAGAACCAGGAGGAAGAGTGTACACCAAGAGATGACTTCAGTGATGTAGACCAGCTTAGAGTAGGCAATGACGGCATTTTCATGCTGGCATTTTTCAGTAAGTAACCTTTCCATTCTGCTTTTACAAAATCCTGGTGTATGTGTATGTAAAATAACAACGAAGAACATGCTGCTAGCATGGGACTACTTCACTTAAAGGGTAAATTGCTTAAGACAGTGGACATAGTAAATCCTAGAACTTATTAAGCGTTTGTTCGGTAATGCTGATTGTAGCCTTTACGGTTGATACTGACCAGAAGTAGATGCATATTTAAACTGAATGAGATTTTACAGGGGAAAAAACAGAATGAAAATTTTAGGAGAAATACTGTGTCTTTTAAGGCTACATGTAGTCATATGTACAGTAAACTACATTTCTGCTTTGAGGTCAGAAGGCTTCCCTTTGAATGCTTTAAGCCATTAGGGTTGGAGAAGGGAAAATTCCAGAAATCTAGCAGTGCCACAAAGGTATGGATATAAGTCTTATGCAGGGAATAGTTATATTTTCACACCATACAAAATTACTAATCATTTAACTTACAAAGTAAATTTAAACTGAAGGAAGACTGTCACAATGTTTGTTATTTCCTAACAAGGGTTAAACTCACTGGGAAATATTGAGGCATATTGCTTAAATGGCTAAAACTAATAGTAGACACATAATGTTCAGTAACCCTGATTAGGTTGCATATTGTGTATGCAACAAAAATGAGAAATGGTTTACTTCATGTCAAACGGCACAGTCTACTTGAGAAGTGATCACCCTTCATGTGTGGGTCCTTCTCCCAGTTTGAGAAGATTTCTAGTTTGCTTTTATTTCATCTGTCAAACAACAGAAGGGAAGAAGGAGAGGGACAGATCCACGGAATGATATTTACATTACTGTGCAGTCTGCAATATTGAGATCCTAACTTGTTCTGCTATGATTTTTCAGTTGGGTCTGATGGACTCACTGAAAAGGCCATGAATTCATTGGTTACATGCAGCTGTTCACCGCTGTTTGTTCTGCTAGTCTAATGAACCTCAGCTTTTCATCTTTGATTCCTGTTCAGCTAGCAAGCTTTTATAGTACTATCAAATTCCTCACATACGTGTTTGCATACATGATATCTTAAACAGGAAGTCCTTTTATTGCTAGGTCTTTAAGGCATCTTGAGGGAGTGGAGGGAGTGGGAAAGCCCCTGCCGTGCACATATGAAGACCAGAATTTGATCCCTTAGCCCCATGCTGAGCAGGTGTGGCAGCGGCCTGTAATCCCAGCACTGGGGAGAAGAGACAGTGGTCCTGGGTTCCAATGAGAGACCCTGCCTCCATAAAGGGGAGAGCAATGAGGAAGACACCCTTGGACCACACACATGCTCACATGTGCCCATAAGCATGCAGATTTAGATCCATGACACACACATCCATTTCCCAAAAGGCAAAGTATCAATTAGAAAAGATTATGAGTGTACTTTTGATATAGTGTAAGTAGCAGCCTCCTTAAAAATGAAAGCATCCATTTATGTCACCTAAGCATTTCACTCTGAACTTACACATTTCCTTTAACCCCAATATCTTTTAATTAATATTCATGTTTTAGATTTGAAATACTTATAAATGTTGTAAGTGCATGGTAACTTAGATTATTTTTTGTCAGTGACAGTATATTAATTTATATAAATACATATTCCCAGATTTAATACATTTCTGAATTTTAGGAAAATTCTATGGAATTGTATTTCTACAAGTTAATTGCTCTTATGCTCTCTGTTTTTACAATTATTTTATATAAGATTAAAATTGTATTTTATTCTGGTATGCCAAGAGCCTGATTTGGTAAGCATAGATTTATTTGCAATTACTCCCATCTAGTGGCTACTCTTGAAATTGCAAGTTGGTTTCTATCCCATCCTTAAACTGGTAGTCTGTAAATACATTCTTTATTATCGCTTGTAACTTAAGCATTTCAGGTTACATTTTTTTGCAACAAAATCACAGAAAATATGAGTTCTATTAAAAACCTTTCATAGTTTTAATTCTTGATTTCTCTGCTTACAGCATTCATGTTTTTGCTCTTAACTCGTGTAATCTTAGAAAAGATTTACAGTTAAATTTAGTGATATAATTATTTTTCATGTACAGAAGATAAAAGGGGAGAAAGGTGTGTATCTCTGTGTTTCTGGATAATGTTTAGTAAGAACACCAGGAGTAATCTTATATTCAGTCAGTGCCTCTTAAAATTCTCAAGAGGATAGAGTAGAATAGTTGTTGGCAGTTAATTTAACTCTAGATGTAATTTGATCCACAATTGACTGAGTGCCAGCGCTTTAAAATGTGTGGACGATTTTGTGAAAACTTTTCCTCCAAGGGTTAGCCGTTTGTATCATGTGTGTCAGAATCTTCATGTCAGAATGAGAGAGACATTACAGCTATTACTCAGCTCTTCTTATTTTAGACTTCAGAAAACTTAAAAAAAAGTTAGTGTTCTTGCAAGCTGAAGTCATTTGAGAGACAGGAACTTCAATTAGGAAAATGCCTCCATAAGTGAGCTTGTATGACATTTTCTTAATTAGTGATTGGTAGAGCAGACCCAGCCTATGGTGGATGGTGCGACCCCTGGACTGGTGGTCCTGAATTCTGTAAGAAAGCAGGTTGAGAAAGCCACGAGGAGCTAGCCAGTGAGCAGCCCCTCTCCATGGCTTCTGCATCATCTTCTGCCTCCAGGTCCCTGCCCTGTTTGGATTCCTGTCCTGACTTCCTTTGATGATGAAAGTATATGAAAGTATAAGCCAAATAAACCTGTTCCTCCCTAAGTTGCTTTGGTCATGCATGGCATTTTATCACAGCGATAGTCCCTAACTGACATAGGCAAATACCAGCCACTTCTAAAGTGACTATTGTTCCTTTCTCATTTAGTCCCATCAGCTGTAGATAGATGAGTGTAGCATGAAAAATAAAATTCAGAGACAGATATTGGGGTTCACACTTCAAGCTGAAGATCAGAGAAGCAAAGCAGCCAAACTAGTAGATGTTACCTCTACCCAGCTGAAATGGCAATCCTGTCTCAGAGGCAAAAGCTCTCAGATCCTGTCTTCTCCTCTTTGTATTCATTTCTCCACTCAGAGATCTCCTTCTGTCTTCCTCCCTAGTGCTGGGATTAAGGGCGCGAGCTCTGTTACTTTTCACTCTTGTGTAGGCCAGGGTGGCCTTGAACTCAGAGAGATCCATTTGCCTATCTCCTGAGTCCTGGGACTAAAGATTTGTGTCACCACTGCCTAGCTTCTACAGCTAGCTAGTGTGGCTGGCTTTCCTTTCTGATCCTTCAGGCAGTCTTTATTAAATCATAACTATTATATGACTACAGATGAGGGCTCTTCTTTTATCCTTATCAGAAGCTGCTGTTGGCATTTTTGTTCTAGACTTTTCTTAAAAGCATGTAGTGTATTCTGATTATGGCTTTAATTTGCATTTCTCAAATAATTATGATACTGAGCATCTTTATTCTGCAAATTCTTTTAAAATTATATAAAAGTCAAAAGGTCCATTTCTTTAAATGGTGATATAGATGCTAATGTATTGAAAAGAAACTTGTTCTGTCCATGTAAGTCGTCTAAAATAGCTTTTAGATGAGGTTAATATTGGTATTAAATCCAGAAAAAGAATATACAGAATTATAGCTGTTCTTTTTTTATGACATATTATATTTGATTATTTTGTTTTTACCTTTGCAAAACCTCCAGTTTGACTGATCCCTTGAAGATCAGACTCTACAGGAACAATATTGTGATCTCATGTTTTGCTGGTTTACAAATGAAGTTTCAAGTGAGAATGTGGAAAGGAAATAAGAAAGCAAGTGTCTGTTTTCTCACGTCTAGAGACTATGCTTAAATCACATATGTTTAAATCTACACATGTTATATATACACATACATATGAGAGACATGAAAATGGGGTATTTAAAGGTGGGGGTGACCAGTAAGAGGGAGCAGAGGAGTACAGGGATGTGAAGGGGCAAATATGAGCAAATACAGTGACACACATGCATGATAAGTCACAATGATTATTTTGTATGCTCGCTAAAAAAAGTAGTGAAAACTGAACTTCATCAATAATAATGTAGTGTTACGTGCTAGTAATAGCTTTAAAGAACTGATAAGGAAGCTGTTGATCAGACTGACAGGAACCCAAGTTTACCAATTTATTTGCTTATTGTAACAGATCTGCAAGCAGCAAGCTGAGGCAGTCTCTAAGGACAGCTCAGTGGGTAGAGTTAAAAGAAACTGCTGTTTCACTTAGCAGTGAGGTATTGCTATTACTATGTTTCTGTTAATTAGTATAGAAGTTACGACCTTGAAAAGCATGTTTCTGTTGTTTTTAGTGGCATTCATTTTCAATTGGCTTGGATTCTGCTTATCCTTCTGTATCACCAACACCATAGCTGGAAGGTACGGTGCCATCTGTGGATTTGGCCTCTCTCTGATCAAATGGATCCTTATTGTCAGGGTAAGCACCTTGGTAGTTTCTATCTAATGTGTGGTTCATTGCAGCGTTTGCTTCATGCACGCACATTCCACCCAGACAAAACTTTTACCTCTTACTTTGACGTTCTGTAACCGTGAAGATTTGATGTAACTCTATGTGCCATAACTGTATGTGAAAGATTGCTAGTTTGAAATAAGCAGATGATTCCACCTTTGGTATCTGTGTCCTCACTTTAAGTTATTTAAATGTTCTCAAATTTACTTGGTTTCCTCATAACATAAATTGATAAAAACTGCCTCATGGGATTATTTCTGAAAATGGAAAGCAAAGTACCTTATTCAGTTGCCTGTAGTATTCAGAAATAATGTATATATGTTTTTAATATATACTATATACATATGTATATATGTATATACATGTGGCATACAGAAATACAGTATATGTGCTTTGAACAAATCATGTTTTATGATCTTGTGATGTAGTACAAGTGTACCTTAAATAAAAAACCCAAAGATTTCTGCTTAATAAGTTATTATGAATTTAACTATCTCCTAAGGTGGTTTTTACCTATGCCCTTTTGTTCTTCGTTAAGGCTGGTCAAAGACATATCAAGGTCACTAAGAATAATGTATAGGTTGCCAAGGACTTTTTAAAAGTGTATTCAATTCGAACTGAGAACTTTGGCATATAGAAATGCAACAAGAAGAGATGGATATTGGAAAATCCTGTTTCAAATAATAACTAAATATTTTCTCTCTCAAAGCTTTGAGAGCTGAAAAGTAAAGACTAATGATTGTCAGCACTTGCTCCTGCTGAGTGTGTGGTAGACACCCATAGCCCACACTGAGCCTGAGGAAGGGAGATTCTGAGGCCATCTTAGGCTACATTGTAATGCCCTATTTCAACATTTTAAAAAGGGGAGTAAAAAAGAGAAAGAAGGAGAAAGCTTACTGAAAACCCTCATCCCTTGCTCGATGTGTTCTTTGTAAGCCTTTCCTAATTTCCTCTTCCCTGAAACAACTTTCAAGGTGGCCACTAGGGGACAACAATGTGTCCCTTTTTCATGTGTCCCAATGTCTCTTGTGATGAGATAGTTTTCTGTACAAGTTGTGTAGGTGCTTTGCTGTTGGGCACAGTCACCTTGTTTCTTACCTTGCCTCTTGAAGGTTTCCTGTGGGCATCTTTTCACAAATGTTTCTTCCTGCCTTTGTTAGCTTTCATTTATTCAGTGTGTGTGTGTGTGTGTGTGTGTGTGTATGTGTGTGTGTGTGTGTGTATAAAGCACCTTGTGAGAGTCTGTTCTTTCCTTCCACCATGTGGGTTTTAGTGTCCAACTCAGAATTGGTGACAAGTGTCTTTGCCTAATGAGCTGTTTCTAGGCTCTCCCGTGGGTTTTAAAGGGTAGACCTAGCAGGATGGCCATGGGCAGCTCCTTCCATTGTTGTGTCAAATTTGCTGAGAAGCTACCTACTGGCCTCTCTAAAGACAGTGGAACCTGGGAGAATGCAGCCTAAAAATGAGGCAGATTAAAGTCTCATGCGTTTCCAGCCTCAGATCCTGAGAGGAGGGGCACAGAAGCACATTCCAGGAACAATTCTGTGTCCAATTGGAAGAAACTGAGGTCATTAGACTTTTATTTTCTTGGAGTTTTCTCACAAACATTCAGAATTCCCCTTGCATGACTCCATTCTTGGACTGTGTTGTGACTGATATCCAGAGTTTTAAGTGATGTCAGCCGACTACTAAATTCAAGTATGTAAATTATACAAATAGTATTTACTTAAAAATTGCTTTCTGATTGAAAGTGCTAAATCTTCCTAAAGTTTTCAGTAGAATAACAAGTCTGAAATATTCACTTCTTTAAATGTTCCAGATGCTCAGATAATGCATTTGTTTTATTAATTAAAAGTAGCCATTGTACAAATATTAATACTCTGAATGATATTAATTTTGAATTTGTTTTATAGCTTCCCATGGTTTTGGTTCTTCTAACAGATCCTGTACTGGTACATATCAGATTATAGGGTTTGAATGTTAATCTATTGATTCTTGGTTGAGATATACATACTAGTTTCTTTTAAGATGATTAAAGTTTGAGCCATTGTGTGAACTGTCCTCTGGTAATTTTTTAAAATTTTACTTTAAAAGATGTCAAGTTTCCACCAGGAGCTTAAATCTACTAGAGGTTGTAAAACACATAAACCTGCCCTTGCAGATTTTCTTGGTAGAGAAACTGCAAAGAGTTGGGACTAAGTGTGTCCAGACTTCAGATGGAATTTCTCATTTAAATTATAGAACACAGAAAACTATTCAAAAACTAATTTTTCAATTTTCCTAAAGTTGATAATTTGCTAGGGTCATTCTTGATATACAAGAGGAAGTCAACCCATTAAGCATAGCCTGCACCTTGAGGGTATTAAAGCCCCATTCTCTCATGGGAGTTTCTGGGTGCTGCTTATTGGGTATCATATGTAGAGAGCTGAAAACATATTGCTTTGTTTTTTTACCTTTTTATTTCTTACAGCTTCTAAAACCCTCATGAAACCTTTTTCTTGATAAAAAGTAATTTTTCAGTTGTCAAGTTCTTTTCTCATTGTATATTTTGTAAGTGCAGGAATGTGTGGCACTTGCAGTTCTAGTACATTCCAAAGGACTATGACATTCTAAATCTTCGGAATTTCCAAAAATCTAAGCTTAGAATTTAGATAAGTAGGTATTTATTGATTTAAAATTATTCCATAGGAAGTATTTCAGAAATTTTAAAAAAACACCATTTGATAATCTCCATAAATATACTTCCCAAGTTGTGACATCACATAAAGTTTGTATTTTTATTATTAACAAAGCTGTAGATTTTTAAGCTTTTATAGAAATTACCAACATATAGTTGGAAATACTTTTAATTAGTTTCAGATACAACCATCAATCTGCATTTAACAAAATTATTTTTAGGTAAGTAAGTTTCAATTTGGAGATCAGTAAAAAGAAATAAAATTAAGACAAGTTTTTTTTTAACTTATTTAGAATAGATTATCTGACATACTTAAAGGAATTATTATTATTTTGAGGTAATTTAAGATACATAATATACATAAGATACATAAGCTACTTACATAGGGAAGAATTGCCCATAATAGGTTAAGAACACTGTGTTATAAACCCTTTCAATGCCATGAAGTACAGGTCTGTTCAAGAGAGGATACCTGTGTCCTGTGCTGTGAGGCCCTGCCTCTTGGCTGCCTGTTAACTTCCCACCTCACACAGAACAGAAGGCCGGCTAGCATGGCTGGTAATAGCAACTGTTGAAATGGCACTTCAGAGTTCATTGAGCTATTCTCAGCTCACTGTCGGGAGCTGAATGCCAGGCATCTAGTTTGAAAATGAAAACTTTCTAATGAGTTGGGGGTCTTTATGTGCCTAGTATTTTGGTAGTGACTAACAGTAGGGGGTTACAGAAGGTCAAAGCGCTTCTTTCTAGAGGTCAGCACATGACATCCCCCTCTGATAAGATTAAACTAATATGGCTTTTGTGCTAATATCCAAAGCAGCAGGTTGCTGTGGCCTATGTGGGGTAGTAGTTGTAGCTTTGAGACTATAAGAAATTGGCATGAACTTTCCAATGAAAAATGTTTAGCTCCAATATATAACATTTAGACATCTATTCTTTTGCAAGCAGTTAGGAGTTTTTGTTGATACAGTATTATATATAAGTTTCCAATTGCATAAGAGAGTTTTCCCCAAATATATATCATTAAGTAGTATTCCCGTGCTTTTCTTTCATGCTTTTTTAATATGCTGCTTTTAAGCATTAAAGATTATTTGAGATAAATTATTCTGATACCTGGAGTAAGCTGAGTGTTAAAATTTAATAATATAAATATAATTAATATATTTATGTTCACTCCATAGTTTTCTGACTATTTTACTGGCTATTTCAATGGACAGTATTGGCTTTGGTGGATATTTCTTGTACTTGGTAAGTTTATTCTTAATGTGGTTCCGTTTAAATAATGTTAGTTTATTACTTGGCTAACTGGTAACTCTAAAGTCATAGAGTGCAGACATGTGTGTCATAGTAATGCAGAAGGAAGGTCGCTGGTGTAAAATCTTGCACTGGCTCTTCTCCGCTCCCAATTCTCTGAGGTGCCACATGTCCCCTAGATGGAAAAAGCAGAGGTGTCAACACAGAGAACCCATGGCTGAATGACAAATAAGTCCTGCAGAATTTGAAAATTTCAACCTAATTTAAATATTGTTATCTTTAGTAATTATTCCCAGGAAACCCACGTGCAAAATTTTAATGCTATTATGCAAGTAGGAGGGTTTGAGCAGTCCGTGCCTTCTCTTACATTTCAATCATGGAAGCATTCTTTGTGCTTTAGAAATGTGCCCTTTCTTCTTTAATCTGCCAGTGCAGGAAAGGCTTCCTGCCCGCTGACCACAGCACTTTTGTTTAGTTGTCTATTTGTAAGACATGCTTTTATTATGTGCTTACATTTATGAGTTTTCAATAATTCATGCTAATTAAGTTAATTTTAACATTATATTATACTTTTGACCCATATTTTAAATGTCTTGACTGACCATCCAATTTTAATTCTTTTAGATTACAGTAGGTGGCAGTCTTCTCTTTAGGTTTTTAGTCATACTATTGGACCTTGAGGATTTTTTTGGAAAACAAATTGTTGGTGGCCAATTAAGGTCGATAACTTCTTTCTGTAATACCACAGTGAAATTATTTCAATGTTATAACTATGTTGGAGATCATACTTAATGTAATGGTTAAGGTAGGATTATGTATTGTTAATTATATCCTAGATTCCTGAATTCTTTGCTCTTTATTGAGTCTTTTACCTAAAAGTGTATGTATGCGATTAATTCCAATAAGTATTTAAACTTACCAGTGAGTTTACTTGCTTAAGTGTCCACTGTTAAGAAATGGGTGAAGTCAGGGAGATAACTGGGCAGAGTTCAGACGACAGTCCCATTGCCAATCAGAGCCAGGGGCTCAGGGTTAGTTACAAGAGTATGCAGACTTCGTCAGCACTAAAGTGATGCTGTCTCATACTTGAAGCATGCTGACTACAAGTAGGATGCTGAGATGAGTGGTCACCGAGTGGGTTTTGGAAATGAATGGCTTATTTTAGAAAATGCCTGTGAGAACCACACTGTGTCTAAGAACTAGCAGCTTCATAGACAAAAGAAGGAATCTCACAAATGAATTTTGTCTGTTATTTTTAAATATTGTTTTTGACCTGCATCTGGTAGGGATTGAGGGTAGAATTCAGACAGAGGTTCACAAATGGAATAAGTTGGGTATGAAGCCAATGGGTCTAGATTTAACTGAAACTTCACGCCTTCACTCCCTCATCATGTGTGTGTTGTGTCTTCTCTCCAGTCTCTGACAAACTGCCTCTCATAACTGTCTGAGCGTGGGCATAGAATTGGTTTTGGACTTAAGCTTTCAAGTCCCGCAGCATTTTCTTCCTTTCTGGTGAAGGGGCTCACGTGCATACATGCCTTCTGTTTTCTTTTCTCCCCACTGTTTCTGGTGTTGAATTTACTGGAGTTGAGTGCTTTCCAGAAAACTGTGTGTGTAAAGATTCCAGAGGCTTGTACTAAGAGTGTTCATGCTTCTACTCTCATCTAGTGTTCTGAATCCAAAATGCTGCAGCATTTCACAGGCTTTGCTTTTTCAGTTATGTGTGTGAGGTAGATGGCTATTGTGTGAAATAGTAACCCACTCAGAGAGCTACCTCAGCTGTCCAGTCGAAAAGAAACCACTAGAGGGGCTTGTCTGTTTTCATTAGTTACAAACAAAAACTTAAAATCATACCCATCATTGAGTACAGATTCCACAAGTGGCAGGCCCTTTACATTGTGAGACAGGCTTTTCTTTCTTTCTTTCTTTCTTTCTTTCTTTCTTTCTTTCTTTCTTTCTTTTTTTTTTTTGTTTTTTTGAGACACGGTTTCTCTGTGTAGCTTTGGAGCCTATCCTGGCATTCATTCTGGAGACCAGGCTGGCCTCGAACTCACAGAGATCCGCCTGCCTCTGCCTCCCGAGTGCTGGGATTAAAGGAGTGCACCACCAACGCCCGACGGAGACAGACTTAGTTTTGAAATTCTTGTTTTTGTTTTGTTTCTTTGTTTTGCTTGGTTTTTGGTTTTTGGTTTTTCTTTGAAATTTGGTTTTGGTGGCAGGGAGAGAGAGGATGCCAGGGCAGAGGGCGGATGTGAGGAGACGGGGAGATTAGTGGGATCGGAATGCATGATGTGAAACCCACAAAGAATCAATACAAGTTTCTTCTTTTAAAACAAAATTTCTAGGACTGGGCTCATTTAAAATTCATTAACTCTTCTACTTAATGCTATCATTACATACACATTTCTATATGACTTTGGAGTTTTATAGCTTACATTTGCTTTAATTGTGTTACAGTTAGGATTAAGAAATTGAAAGAATGTCAATAAAATGTTATTATATTTTATCATGATGGAGTTACCGTTGTAGCTTAAGATATAACATAGGATGAATGGAACTCTACAGATTTGCTTCCTCAGCAGAAGAGGTCATATTTGTATTGTCTGTTGTCTGTGTGGTTCCCTTATGTTAAACGTATGGTTATTTCATCTCTGTAGGCCTGCTCCTATTCTTCAGAGGGTTTGTTAATTACCTAAAAGTCAGAAACATGTCTGAAAGTATGGCAGCTGCACACAGAACAAGATACTTCTTCTTACTATAGAGGTAAGAAATGTTAATGTGATATTTGTTTATTCACATTATACAGACATTTGCCAGATACATATGGCTTATTTAATATATACTCATAATTTTACTTAATGTATTTAGTATGCTTTATGCTTAATAGCTTATTGAAATTTAATAAGCTGCTGATCCTTTTAGATAACTTAGATAAAGTTTTTTAAATTGAACTTCACTAATTTAAATTTTAAAATACAAAATTAGAAACGAAAACTATTTAATTTTGTGGTGTTGTGATCAAATTCAGTACTTCACATATGGAACGAGCAAGCATGTTAACCCTTGACCATGGTCTTGAGACAGGCTCTTCCTAAGTGCTGCAATTACAGGTGTGTGCCACTATGCCCAGAGAAACTTTTTTTTTAAAAGATTTATTTATTATATATTTAGTATATATATTGGCCTGCACATATGCCTGTAGGCCAGAAAAGGGCACCAGATCTCATTAGGGATGGTTGTGAGCCACCATGTGGGTGCTGGGAATTGAACTCAGGACCTCTGGAAGAGCAGCCAGTGCTCTTAACCCTTGAGGTAACTCTGCAGCCTGCCCAGAGAAACTTAAGAGTCCTACTTCTTCACCTTCTTTTTAATGGTTTGCCACAGGCACATTTGAAGTAACCAGCAGTACAAAACTTGAAGACTTTGAAAAGTATAGTTTTTATAACAAAATACTTACAAAGAAAGGATGGATATTCTGCAAAAAGTAGTGCAAAGTCCATGTAGATACCTGGTGGGAAAAACAAAACAAAAAACCAAAAATCCAGAATGACCACAGATTTGTTACTGAAAAATGCTTTGTCATACAAGAAAAAAAGGAAATGAACAAAGAGAACTTGATAGTTACCCAGAGAGTTTCTGGAAATGGTGTGTGTAGTCAGCACTTATTTATTAAACAGCCGAGGAGTCTCTTCAGGTAAAGAGACCTCATGTGCTTACTCAGCTCTCTGTATTTATGGGCTCTGTGTCTGTGTGCTTAGCCATTCATGGGCTTTTAACAGTTGAAAAAGAATTGCATCCACATTGAACATGGAGATTTTCCTCCAGTCACTGTTCAAACGCTCCAGTGTATTGAACTGTATTAAGTGCTGTATATAAGAAGAGATGGTACCCACTAGCAGAGGATGCATGCAGGTTATGCCTACACACCATACCATTTTGTCTAATGTACTTGAGCATCTGAGAACTTTGATGTTGGAGGGAGTCCTGAAACCAATCCGCTGTAGCTATTGAGGAAAGATTATACTCTTTGTAAGTCAATTGTGGTTTATGATTTGATTATTTACATTTATAGCGTATGTTACTTATTGTAAGTGCCCCAACCTTAGATAAAGATAGGCAACTAAGGAATACTGAGATGGAGAGAAATAGTCTTCCTTATGGATGGGCCCCCTGATTGGTTAGCCTTGCAATTGTATACCTACAAGTATTGAGCAGGTTATATTACATATCTAGGCATTTATATATCTGTAAGAGTAACAGAAAAAAAGAGGCCTGATTTCAAGAGGGACTTAGGTGAGAGGGATTGGGAAGAAGGAAGGAAAAGGAGGAGGGAGGAAAAGGAAGAAGGAAATTCAATTATATTTTAGATAAAAAATTAAAAAGATAAAAAGGACATATCATTTTAGCTGGAGAATATACATATAAATATAGTGTCTATATAAGTATATTTCTGGATTATATTAAAATATTAGTCTAAGTGTTTAAGATTCCCTATCCTCATAAGATACTAAATTTTCTTTTTAATCATTAAAATGTCTTTGTGAATATTGGCACCAAGGATTTAGTAGTATTAGCAGTGAGATAAAAGGCAAAGAAATATTGCTAATTTGAGCACTGTTCTCTGAGTAGTGTGATTACTTTGCAGGTTTTAGAGAGTCAAATATAATGTAAATTTTGTAGACTACATGAAGGTCTTTTATAGATGCTTTTTCTTTTAGAAAAATATTAAAATATTATTTAATATTTAAAAAAATATTAAAAAATATTAAAAATATTAAAATATTATCTTTATCCAAAGACTGCTCTATACATAAATGAAATGCAGCTGTAAAATGTGTTTGTACTGTATTATGATTTCAAGTATAATACATTTTAAGAGTGCTTTTTTCTTTGTCTCTAGATTGCATCAAGCCAACATTCCTTTCTTATACCAATGTGAAATGTCCACGTCATCTGTAAACCTGCAGCTTTGCTAAGATAGAAGACTGCTGAGAGCAGAAGAAAACTTAGAGAGAGGTGGAGCTTCAACATGAAATGGCAGGGTGGTTTAAGCTTAAAAGCCATTCTGCTCATTGTTTAATTATCTGTATTTCATTTATTTTGCACATTTGTATATGTGCCTATTTAAAAGATACGCATATACTTGAAAGAATCCATAAAGTTGTTGCAGCAAAGTCCGGTCACACTTGGTTAATCAGTGTTTGATATAATTGGAAGAGTTGAGTGATAAACACTTCCAGCATGTAAATGCTTCTAACTTGACCACTAGTGTAATAAAAATTACATTATTAATCTTGTCAAATGCTTTAGTTTCTGGCTCTTAGATTCATTTGGTATTTCCAAACATGAAATATTCTTTGCTATAGATAATGTTTATTAAAACTTGCAGTGTGATTATTAGAAAAGATTTGTCAAATTTTTGAGTATGATATTATTTAGGGAAACTGTAAATAACCATGCATAAGTTGCTTTTTACATTCTTTTCTTAGAATTGTGTCTAGATTTCTTTTCATTAATTTAAAATTAAGTAAACTAAATATATAGAAATAAACTTTGTTCAAGATAGAGTGGTTTCAGATGAACTTTAAGAAAATGAGTAAACCAAACGTTGTTTAAAGAAAAGCTAAGCGGCAATACTAGTTTTAGGGGTTTTCAAATGAGAAGCTTACATTTAAGGATTACTCACCTTAGCAGTTCTTACAAGAAGATATTACATTAGATCTTATATTTATTTACATCTAAGACAATTCAAAAAATTGATTTATCAAATATTCTCATTTGCATTTGTCTTTTAAAAGCCAATAAAAGTATCTTTCAATATTACTGTAATCATTTTTTTCTTTAAATGCTTAGTTTGTTAAACTTAGCAAATAAAATCCTGTTCTGTTAATAGCACCTTGCTTAATGATTGCAAGATTAATTTATAAAAACATACAAGCTGAATTGAGATAACTCAAAATACATACTTACATACTTTGATGTTATGAAGTATATCTGAGATGTAGGGGTCTTGAGTGTCTGTGTGGTGAGTGCGTGCAACCATTAATCCAACTGGAATCGGCTTTCACGTCCATAGCTATAGTGCTTGGTACTGTACGAATCACTCTGTCTCCTGTGGTTTTCATTTTTATTGTAGCTTTTGAACACCAACAGTAAAGATGATAGAAATTAGATCACTGTAGAAATGTCATTTGATATAGCTATAAAGAACATACAAATTGATTGCTAGACACTAGGACTAAAAGGTACATCTAACTATTCAGGACCATTTTTCCAGTTTTAAGGAAAAATAAAATTTACTATGTTTTATTACCTCTTTTGTACTTCTTGTATTTTATGATTTTTTCATTGGTTTTGGTAAATAAAACATACAGTTTTGTTTGCTAATTGAGCCTCCTAAATTGTTTTCACTAATTCACTTTATTTCTCTTCTTCATAGAATTTTGTTGTTGGTTGAAGTGCATGTGCTCCACCCGGTTGAAGTCAAGCACTAGTGTGCGGGGGCGAGCACTAGTAACACAGAGAACTCACGCTGGGTTTCCAGAGGCGAGCACTAGTAACACAGAGAACTCACGCTGGGTTTCCAGAGGCGAGCACTAGTAACACAGAGAAACTCACGCTGGGTTTCCAGAGGCTCTTCATTTCCTTTAACTGTAACTGTAAATTACAAGGAAGCTCAGCTACCAAACATCCATTTATTAAAATTCCATTTTTGTTTTTGTTTTATATTCATATTTTGGTTTTATATATGTATGTGCCATTTTTGATCCAACCTCAGAACGTCACATTTTATTTTGATTTCTCTCTTAAATCGGTGAGTTCAAATGTATATTTCATAACCCTCTATATAATTGTACTAGTTCAACGGTATATAAATCTCATCATCCAAGCAGGATTGCCAAAGTGTCACTTGGAAAACTTAGTATTCCTTTTCAGATATGTGGACCTATGAATGTCTGTATTTGCTGTGAGCTTGAACAGCTGCTGTTTGGAAACCATTGTGAGTGAATGTGAGCCAGAACTTGGATGTTAATGTAAAAGTACCTTAAGTGACTTTGGTTGTATTTGAATAACTGTGTTATGGGTTGAATAATCCATTTTGATATAGTTAAATAATCAACTATTTTATAGCAAAATTGTTTTTCTATGTAGTGCATTAGGATTTCAAAAAATTGAAAGTTAAAAATACGAATCCTGTTATACCAAGTTAAACTGAAAAAGTCTACTTCACAGAAAAAAAAAACCACTAATCTCCAACCAATTATTTTAAGCCCGTCAGATAAATCCCAATTTAGACATGTCTTTGAAGTAGTTCATAAATTTTAGTTGTTAAAGTCATAATCACAAGTGTTTTTTTTTTTCACTTCCATTCCTGCTCCCCCCCCCCACCTTCTTTTTCATCTAGGAAAGCTAGGCAAGCATTCTACTACTGAGCTATACACCTCAAGCCATCTTTTTATTTTGAGACAGTATCCCAGGGTTGTCCCTGAACTCACTGTAGCTCAGAACAGCTCTTGAATTTGCTGTCCCTCTGCTTTAGCTGTCCACATAGCTCAAATCACATACCTGCACCACATTTTCAATTAAACCTTTCATAATTGGGAAAGTAGAGGTCAAAATGTCCAACTGGAGAAACAGTCAGGAATTCTCAACCCTTTCTCCACACAAGCATGGTGACAGTAAATCTGATTCTCCCTTTCCTGTGTCTGGAACCTGCTCAGAACACCTCAGGTTACAGGTTTTTCTCAGATTCAATAGTGCTTCCTCCCTTCAGTGTCCTGGAAGGGAAGATATATGGGTACCTTAAATAAGAATTGACTACTATAACTCACTCCTTTTGAGAGAAAGAACTTGGGGAAGGACAGAAACCAAAATAGAATCTTAAAGTCTTTCTTAAACAACATTTATTTATTTATTTATTTATTTATTTATTTATGGCTTGGAAAACAGGCATAGTAATTTATTTTTAAAAGAAGTTAAATTTGATTACAGTTTATAATATTTGATAAACAATGGGATTTAGAGTTTTTAACTGCTATTGTATCATTTGAATTTATGAGTTAAGTAGTCATGAATTAGCATATTATTTTTAAGACATCATTCTTGATAAAGTTTACCTGTTACATGATAATGTACCATTTGTTATTTTAACAGTGTCCTCCTTGCTTATATAGGAAACATGCTGGCATGTAGTTTGTTAATATAATTGTATAGATGGAAATGCCATCCTTTTGAAAACCAGTTTAAGATTCTAAGTATATTATCACCATCTTTACCTCTCTGACATGTGATATATATATCAAATTCAAGATTTGAGACAAAAACAACTCTGGTATGGAATTAGGTTTGTGAGTTGCAGCATTTTGTAAACTTCTCGAAGTTTTTTTTTGTTTGTTTGTTTTTTGTTTTGGGAGATAGGTTATGGTTTAATACATGCAAGCAAATCAACTTTTTAAAGATAATGTTTTTGTTTTTATGTTCCAACAGATAACAATGCAAAATCTTTATTTTCAGCTTCACACGTGTACCTGTGTCCCCTCCTTCTCTCCCTCCCCTCCCCTCCCTCTCCTTCCTTCTTTTTGATTGTATAAGAACAAGACTTGGGGCCTCTGGATAAGCAAGCTGAGCCCTCTCATTGAGTTCCATTCCAAGTCCATGCTTTACTTAGACATGTTTTTGCTTTGAAGGGTTGTGCTGTCTATTCTCAGCAAACCCACCTGATTTCGATGACAACCACGTTTTAAAACTCTAGTCTAGGAGCTGACAAGATGTCTCAGGGTGATGGCCCCAGATGCTAGTCAGACGATTTGAGTTTGGTCCTCAGAACTCACTTGGAGGAAAGAGCGAGCCATTTGTAAGTCGTCCTCTCCCTTCCACAGGTACGTGATGGCATGCAGGGCGTCATCTGCATGTTCCCCTACCACCCAACAAATCAAACAAAAGCAAAACCATGCCAGTAACTGTAAAGGGGATAGGAAGGGAATAGAGGCTGTTCTCACTTTTACAAAGAGCTACTTTGTCTGTGTGGCGTTCTTGCTGTCTCTGTCTCTGTCTCTGTCTCTGACACACACACACACACACACACACACACACACACACACACACACACACCCCCTGTGTCTCTCTGTCTCTCCTGTCTCTCACCCCCTCTCTTGTGCATATTCACTTTAATTAAATCATCATTTCAGGGACATGAAGAGACATGTCCTTTTCTTCTCTTGGTTTTACCTGAGAGTAGTAAGTTCAACAAATAAAGTAGCAAACCCAGAGCTCAGATGAAGTCTGGAAAGAAGTCTCTTCATTTAGAATATGGCAAGTAGCAAATAACCTTACTGAAAAATATTAATTCTGCAGAGAGCGTATACATATATTCCATGTGAGGAAATGGATGTATTTATTTCTCACAAAATTTAGGTTGTCAGCTGTCTTAATTCTAGAAAAGTGGTTTGGTTTGTCTATGTGATTTGGACTGTAAATTCTGATTCCCATCTTGTTCATTTATTGAGACCTAAAGATTCTCTATTGCTAACAAGATTGGTGTTACGTCATCCTAACAAAATAAGTTGCGATAGAATGTGAAGTATTATGTCCTGGGTGCAGATCTTTTTAGTTGAAAATAATTTCTCCTTCCTGCCCACTCAACTCCATGCCTCTTTTCCCTCTCTCTAAAACACAAATGAGCAAAACCAAAACAATAAAACAGAAAAAAAAAACACAAAAAGGACATGGACACACACACACACACACACACACACACACACACACACTAATATATAAGCAAAAGACCAGTAAGGTAAGCAAAATGCCAGTCAAAGCAATCTGAGACAAAATGTCTACAGAAACACCACTGAGTTGGTTTTGTGTTGACCATCTATTGCTGGTCATGGGGCCTGCCCTGAAGTGTAGTTTGTGTACTTTGTGAGATTCCATTGAAGAAAATGATTTTTCCTTTTCCAGTGGTTGACACTTGAAGATGGTTTCTGGGTTATGGATGAGGATAGTGTTCATTTTCCTTTCAGCCCTGGGACCCTATCTGGCTTGGACCTATACAGGCCCCATGCCTGCTACCGAGGTCTCTGTTGAGTTCCTTTGCATGAATCCTGCCCCTCTTTTTTTTTTTTTATTGATATCTTCAATTACCATGGGCTCTTACAGCTCTTACAATCTTTCTGTTCTTTCTTCTGCAGAGTTCCCTGAGCCCTGAGAGGAGAGGTTGGATGAAGACTTGGGGAAAAAAAATCGCGTTGATAAATTGAAAGCTATGAACTTAAAAAAAAGGTTTATTTTAGGGGTTGTGTGCATATGTAAGTACAGGTACCTGCAGAGGCCAGAGGCTTAGGATCTCCTGGACCTGTGGTTAGCAGGTGGTTGTGAGCTACCCTATGTGGATGCTTGGAATTGAACTCATGTCCTTTGGAAAGAGCAGCAAGTGCTTTTAATAGCTGAGCCATCTCTCATTGCCAGGAGTTATGAACTTTAATATAATAAGTTAAAATATTTAATGAAAATATTTTAGGTACATTTACATCTTATAGTTATTTTGAAATTGGTTTTTCACCCACTGAAAAGGTTTTATTGATTGACATTTGAGAGTTAGACTTTGAAAAGATGTTTCCCTAATCTAGAAGCTCCAGGGATGAACTCTTGTATGGTGATTTTTATGGGACCTCTCTTTCCAGGGAGGTGGTTACTGGTCGATGTGACGTGTCACACATAGTCAACTGGAGGGTTTTTCAAAGTTGACATCCCAGACCTAGTGTTTTGAAGCTCTAGCTCTAGTAAGCCTGCCCCAGTGACGTGCTTTTCCTCAGCTGGAAGAAGTGGACTGACTTTCTGTGTCATGTTGCTGGGAGTTCTAGCTCTTTGCATACATCCAATGGAAAACTGAAAATATTAACACATGTGTAAGATTTCAAGGCATATATAATCAGGTTATAGAAGATAGACATTTTTTGGGGCCCTGCCTTAAGACTTCTGTGTCGAGTACTTTTCTGGTTTTGATTCCCTACTTACTACCTATGATATGACTGCAGGGCTAGCTAGACCAGAGTGTGGCAGTGTTGAGACAGAATGGCAGTTACTTTCTCCAACATAAAAAAAAACACAACTGGATTGCTCCCTCATACAGATGTTTTTCTGATGAGACAAATAGGATTTCTTTCTACTGGAAACTTCCTTTCCCATCCTTGTAGATTACATAGAGAGGCAGCTTTGTGTTGCTAGGATTTGGTATTCTCATACAAGTCAGACACATTGCTTAACTGAAGCCTCAGTGATGGGGAATGTACTTCTGTGTATGTTCATCTTATTGA